CTCTTCCAGGCCAATACTGGAGCTCTGTGCGGCGCTTTGCCTCCACCGTGGGCTACTCATTCCTGGAAGCCCAGCACCACGACACGGAAGAAGTGGAGACTGTGACAGCACTGGCCTCACTTTCTGTGATGGCTGAAAAAAGGTGATTCTTTGTGCTTCTCAAACAACTCAAGTCATCATATCTTCAGGCCACCCCCTTGTGGTTGTTGTGCTAGATCAGTGGTTCTCAACCTGTGTGTCCCCAGGTGTTGTGGCCTACAACTCCCAGAAATCCCAGCCAGTTTATCAGCTATTAGGATTTCTGGAAGTTAAAGGCCAAAACATCTGGGGATTCAGAGGTTGAGAACCACTGTGCTAGATGATGGCAAGACAACCCAAGTCATCGGTTGGAGAAAACTTGCCAGTGCAGATAGGTGGCAGCTATTTCTGCTGGCAAAACATTTCAAGCAAAAAGCTCTTGTATAGCCAGACTCCAAAAAGTGATTTACTATTTCAAAGGATTACTTGGCTGCTGAAAGTTAGAACTCTGAGATATCCACACAAAGGGAGGGAAGAAGGGATTTTTTCCAAAAGCAGATTAATACCAGCCCCTTCATTGTGTTAGTATTCCCAGCAAATTGTTTCTGAAGAAAAGCCACATCTTTTTGCAAGACGGTGCATCTGCCTGCAAGATGGAATGTTTCAGAACAGCCATTCATTGAGGAATTCAGAGTCTGGTTTGAGGGAGTCACATAGTTAGAAGGGAAAGCCAACTGCCTGGAAAGAGCTAAGGAAATATAGTAGAGCAGAAGATTTTGATTTAGAGCCGGGAAATTTGGGTTCCAACAAATGCTTCTCCAGAAAAGCTCAGTGAGTGAGTGGGCTTGGTTGCATTGCAGTCTGTTACACAAGGTTGTCATAAGGATTGATTCAGTATGACCCCTATATCTATTAAGGATGCATTCCATGGATACACAAACCATTAGGACACTATAGAGTTGTAATGGAAGGCCTAGGAAATACATATAGAGGGCACCCCTCTAGGCATTTCTAGGTCCTCCAGCACGACTCAATGGTCAATCTCTTGCATAAGCATCCCATAGAAGCACCTGAAGCACAAAACTTATTTTGTCAGAAGCAGTAAAATGAAACTATAGGTTCCAGTCCTGCAGGTATAGAGGTCAGTATTATTATACTCTGGAACTACAGTTCATATATGAATAATGGAAATAAATTTATTATTAGGTCAAGCATGTCTGTTGGCTTACAAACATCCAAAAATTATATAGTAGTCCCTAAAGTTACAAAAGCATAGGTGGTTTGTTTGTCAGGTGATGTATGCAACCTGAGCGTTTTCTGATAATAGCAGTGATGCTTTTTGGTTCTTACATTCATGAAGGAGTAATTGCAAGAGTTTCTTATCACTGGGTGTTATCGTAAACACTTTTGTGCATTGTTGAACCATTTTTTTTCATTCCAAGATTCATTTATGTGGTTTTGGACTTGGACTTGAGGTTTTTTCCCTACAAGATAGTTATGGGATGCAATAAAACATACATAATGACGGAGTTCTTAATAGAATATCTTAATGTGTCGAGATGTATTTTTTTTCCCTGCACAAGAAAACTCTGCTTGGGATCCAGAATTGCCTCCTTTTTCCTTCACAAGGCTAAATCTCCAGAGATTTAACTTACTGTTATATCAGTTTATTTTGGGGTATAGATACATCGACTCCTGGGATCTCACAGTCCCTGTGATTTTTCCAATTCATTCCCCTGATGTTTATATCTTGTTTTCTTCTGTTTTAGGCAGCAGGATGAGCCTATGGAAGAAGAGCCTATGAACCAATGAAGATCTGTTTCATCCTCCCAATGGGAACAGAATGTCCTTAGTGGTTCATTCCTCATAACACAGTCCTGGTCCATTGCATAGCCCATATTACTGTGACTCCCAAGGCTGGAAAATACATTCAACTGTTGCAATACCAGCTGTGTGGAAGGGGCATGTGGCAGATCATCCAGGATTAGTAGGTCCCCCTTGGGGGCTGCCACATGCGAAACTCCACATTCCAAGAAGGAGTCCCAGAACTGTGGTCCTCCTGTTGGAGAACCAGCTTGGATTAAAACTCTGACAACCAACAGTGCTTGGTGGGACACAGGAGACTGAATATGGACTGCAAAACTGGAGAGTTTACTCCGACGTTGGGGTGGTGCCTTTTCCCCTCCAGAACCAAAGAGGCCCCACGGAGAGATCCTGCTGGGGCAGAGCCAGGGTTTTATTGTCCTTATTCTCTTTTTTTCTAAGCAAGACTTCTTCCCTTCTTGAAAGAAGCTGGACCTTTACAACAGGAGAACTTTAAAAAACAACTATTGGATTTCCAATACTTTGCAACATCTTTAAAGAGTCACCTAGGCCAGTTCCTGCTTCAACCACTGTCCCAAACTTTCCCCTTTTGTTCTAGGACCTCCCTAATTTGCACTATATACAGATCATTACAGACACAGACTTTTATCTGGTTCCCCACAGGACTTTGTGGGAACAAACCGAATCTCCTTTCGGACTCAAGCCCTCAATGTACCATTCCTCAACATACCATGTAAATATGCAGCCCGGTGGTGTTTGTGGCTGGTTGATGTGCCTCTGATCCTTGAACATAGGCCATTCTTATTCCAAAAACAATTTTTGAGGGCGGGAATGGGGAGGAAAGAACGTGGGGAGGGTAATGTGTTCTCTGTTATCCCAGTCAATATGTGGAATTCAATTTCTTGTCAATCTTAGTTGTTTGGGTGCTTTGTTGGTCTTCCCCTCCCCCCTTTGTCAAAACACACACAAAAAAAAAACACAGCCCACACAAGCTTCTATCCTCATGATGTGTTTGAAAACAAGCAGGCATTGCACCTATAAATGCTCTGTTATTTTGATAAGTGGCATGTGTGATCTACATCGCTGTGACTTCTTTACAACTTTTCTTGAAAAGCACCCACTTCTCATCTGTCAGAACTGCCAATTTGTCAAAAAGTGTCCTACAAGAAAACACGACTTGGTATGTAAGAAAATTACAAGTAGACATCATGCAGATGAACATGTGCCAGTCCCACACACTTCTGTTTCTCATTGTGAATTGGAAAGCTGCAAATGATGGTAGTGAAACCATTTCACACACAGGAAGACCATCATGGCTCTCAATCTCACTGCCAGTGGCCAAATTGGGAGTGTGGACAGAGCAAAAGTGGAGAGAAAGGCTGCATTTGGTGGAAAGGGGAGCAAGGTATATGCTAAAGGATGCAGTGTATAGAACACATATAGAAGAAACTCCTGGATCTAAACCAGCCAGTAAATTGAGCATTTGCTACAGCTCAAACATGCTATTTTTTCCATCAAACAGCAGGACTTCATATATTAAAGCTCAACTTCTATTCCTAAGCAGTGCAGTTGGGGATACTCCTACTATGCACCTGGAGACATGAGGTAGTGGGTTTCAGTCAAAACCATGAAGCCGGGAAAAGGACGGGGGGTAGAAGAAAGTATTGGAGTCTTACAGTGGTAACCAGAGTATTTAAAGTGTTAGCCCCAACACAGGAGTAGACAGCACATATATGGAGGTCCAGTCATATGTTTTGGCCTGACTGCACCCATTTGCTGTTACTGCCAATAAAATCCCACTGCTGAAATTCAAAAACATTTCAACATGAAGAAAGAAAGAAAAGAAACAAAAATATGTCTATTATGTCCACCCCAAGAAAGGGGAGGAGACATAGCCCTGCCATTCTCCAATAGTAATATTATTATTCACTAATTTTCTTCTTTAAAGAAAGCAACAAGTAATTTTGACCATTTTCTTCGTGCTGCAAGAAAATTTTCAAACACTGCAGGTTCTCCAGGCTTTTTTGCAATTCAGGAATTATTCTGCAGAAAATTCACGCACAATCGTTTTGTCAAGAAAGTGTTGTCTGCAGGAAACAACATATTCTATGCAGGAAAAAATCAGAATTATCCCTTTTGGTTCTGGGTTTTATTTTTCATAACAAATATGCAGATCTTCTGGAGACTAAATTTACAATTGAATCAATTACAATATTCCTGAGCAGAAAATGCTGTTTTCTGTGCAAAACAACCATATCTGTATTTTGTTTAGAATGAGAACCAAACCGCAATGACGCTCATCCGTGGCTGTTTCTGTCTGTCAGATCGTAATCATTTGAGAAACACGCAGGAGTGGGTTGGTTTTTTTTAAACATTTTTCCATTCCTGGTCTTCAAAACAATGGAGTAGTAGGATGTTCAGACACACTTCTATACCATAGCTTTCCCTTTGAGCCTCAATTTCAGTCATGATGGTGAAAAACAAAGTTTATAACTTTGCCTTACAAGTTATCCTTCTTTATCAGAACTGCCATAGAAGATGTGTGATCATGTGCAATTTGGGGACCTTTTCAGATAGGAAGCCCTAAATGCAATGCAGCACTGACATGGTTTCCATGCCCTAGTGAATCCACTCTGCTTAAATAAAGACTTCAGTGGAACTATCCCTAGTACTGAAATATACCCTCCATATAGGTCCAGCATGTTCGATCGCCACTCTAAAATTCAGGCAAAAAAATCTGAATCAACACAGCATCCACTGATATGAAAATCAAAGACACTACTGATACAGTTCTGCTATCCAAAGCTGGTATTTCATAAATTGAGTCACTTCCTTCGGGGCCTGCTTTTCAACAGCAATCTATACACTATTTGGAGAGGGGGGGCAAGGCGAGAAAGCTGCATAGCAAAGCAGTAGATGAGCTATAACTTTCCCTATTCTGTCAACAGCAGAGGGGGCTTCTACACCAGCCTCAGGTGCAGTATCCACACTCACGGAGGGAGGGGGTGGCATTGAATTTGGAGGATCCAGGCTACTTACAATACCATGCAACATTTGTTCAGCTGTTTACAACATGATTCGGTATTGATCATAAAATCACGGAGATGGAAAAGGTGCCAAAGGCCATCCAGTTCAAACCTCTGCCCTCCAGAAATACACAAAACATTCCCAACATACAAGACTCTGGTAAAAATCCTTCAGAGAAAGAAACTCCATCTCATCGCAAGGAAGCCTGTTCCACTGCCATTGAGAAGTTTTCCCTAATTTTGAGATGAAATCTCGGATAACTTTATTTATTGTGTCAGGGGCAGACCAAACAGTTGCATTGCATTTTTTAACAAACAAAACATAACGTTTGCAAGCTTGGATAACTGACCTATGCCTTCTGTTGGTGAACCAAGTCAAAGCTTGCTAGTAGAGCTGTTCCTTGCCAGCAGGTTGGTACTGTCATTCTATCCTAACCCTTACCCTTCAAACCACAGAGTAATTATTTACAATCATTTTCCAATTATAATGTGTTGTGTGCAAAATTTGGGCACCACTTTTCTCCATTCGCAGCAAAGAAATACAATAGAAATAGGCAACAATTATAGCCATGTCAAATAAATATTGATGCCTTTTTAATTAGTCCTTTAGTGTTTGAATTGTGGCTTTACATTCTCTTGCTGCTCCCAATCTCTGAATGTGTGAGAGAGGGACAGGAAGAAATCGATACAACATTGCATTGGTAAACCACTGAAAATCATATTCTATGAACTGCATTGTTTAACTCATGCGATCTTTTTATCCTTGCAGATTTTAAGTGATTTACAATGCAATTCAAAACCTATGTACTTAAAGCAAAATTACCAGTGAGCAAGACCCATTGGACTCTAAATACAAGGTTGAGAGGAAATTGTGCTATAAGCATATTTGCTTTGACAAATGGAAGAAAGTAGAAAAATCTGTCTTCTCAGCTATTGTGAGCTACAGCTCCGCAAAGCATTGGCTGATGTGTTTAATGGCAAGGCATTGTAGGAGTTGTAGTCCAAAACATCCTGATGATCACAGGTACTACATTCCTACTTTATCTAACAACCTGCCCCAGCAAGCATCAGCTTTCTGTAGGTTCACATCCACGTGTGACAAGTTGGTGGTTTCTCAGTGGAGATCTTCCCAGAAAGGAAGGTTTCTTGTTCTAGTTATGCTCCTCTCCCAATTCCTGTTGAGAGCAAGATGTGTGTTTCTGACTTGCAAGGATTCTGTGTATATTGGGCTCTGGAAAATATTGGCATGGGTAGTGATGCCCAATGCAGTGGAGCCACCACAAAATTAGCCCTGCTGCATCACTTAGCAGTTAGGATGTTTTTCTTCCCATCCTGTGGATTTGAGCTCCTTGGATTCACAGGAGAATAGGAAAGTCGTCTGTTTTCATCAAAAAAGCAACATTGGTGATGACAGAGTAAGATGGGACTTTCCAAGGCTGAACAGCACACACAAGCATAAATCTGTGTGAAATCATTGAGTCACTGACTACGGCAGTCTGGAGTGAAAGTAGGAAGAAACCACAAGTTGAAAAGAATTGACTATGGGATGCATGGCTTCCAAACTCTATTAAAGTCCTGTTATTGGCTATGTAGAAAAGAGGGAGGTAGGGGTTTTGGAAGAAGGGACTAAGTAACAACAGGAAGTCAGATGCAAAACAGGCCGAAATTTTTAATTGTTTCCAGATGCTTGTTGAACATATAAACAAGTTGAGGTGACTCATGCCGTTATCGGGACTGTTTGGGTGTTTCAACATGATTGTGAAAATTGTGATTTTAAATATAGACCCCCCACAATTGTAAACAGTTTGAGAAATGAGGCGCTTTTCACAACCGTCTGGCATACAATCAGAAGATGTTGTAAGACATGTAGGGGAGAAACTATTGGTTTATGAGGTTTCCAATCAGTTCAAGGACCTCTTCACACACGCTGCTGGAAACACTGAGTGTCACTGCTGATTGTGGTGATTGAAATGGCGCCTGCCCAGGTCATGTGAGGACCTGTTGCCCCATGCCCTTCACCATACCAGGTTCCCTCACCTCATCATATAGGGCAGTGTTTCTCAACTTTCCTAATGCTGTGACCCCTTAATACAGTTCTTCATGTTGTGGTGACCCCAAACCATAACATTATTTTCGTTACTACTTCATAACTATAATTTTATTACTGTTATGAATTATAATGTAAATATCCAATATGCAAGATGTATTTTCATTCACTGGACCAAATTTGGCACAAATACCCGATATGCCCAAATTTGAATACTGGTGAGGTTGGAATGGGATTGATTTTGTTATTTGGGAGTTGTAGTTGCTGGGATTTCTAGTTCATCTACAATCAAAAAGCATTCTGGACTCCATCAATGATGAAATTGAACCAATCTTGGCACACAGAGCTCCCATGACCAACAGAAAATACTGGAATGATTTAGTGGGTTTGAGTTTTGGAGTTGTAGTTCACCTACATCCAGGGAATACTGTGGTCTCAAACAATGGTGGATCTGGACCAAACTTTGCACAAATACTCAATATGCCTAAATATGAACACTGGTGGAGTTTGGAGAAAATAGACCTTGAGATTTGAGAGTTGTAGTTGCTGAGTCACCTACAATCAAAGCACATTCTGAACTTCACCAATTATAGAATTGGACCAAACTTCATACACAGAACCCCCATAACCAACAGAACATACTGTGTTTTCTTTGGTGACCCCTCTGACACGCCCTTGCAACCCCCCAGGGGTCTCAACCCCCAGGTTGAGAAACACTGACATAGGGGGAAGCCTTGGTAATCTGGATTAACCCATCTTTCCTAATGGAAGGACAGAAAGTCTTCCTTTGTACACCACTGGCAATTTTTGATAGTGGCAGGTCCTTTGCGACAGTTCAGCCATGGAGCCACCCCGGAAGTACTTTTCGATGTGTGATGGGAACTGGTGGACTCCTTGGAAAAGCTATTTTTAAAAAACCTGTCATCACTGTCAAATTTGGGCCTGTGTGAAGTGGTCCCAAATTAGCACCAACCTTGAGAAGGAGGGCTAATGGCAAATAACAGCACATCCCAAAAGCACTTTTCTCTCTCATCTCTGTTGTATTAAAATTAATTAAGTACCTTCACTCTATGTGGTGCTTCAAAAGATAAAGAACAAAAATAAACATTTCCTTACCCTGGGGTTTATGATCTAAAGATGGGAAACACAAGTAAAGGGGATGACAGCATGGAAAAGTTTTGTGCATCCAGGCACTGTGGAGTGGAAATGTCCTAAGCCCCTTCCTGCTTTTGTTCCCATTTTAGCATTCTTTCATTTTCTGCTGTACAGTCCGTCAAATACAGATTTCACTCTAATAGACATTGGCTGGTAATTAGAATGCTTATGGACATTATGCCAAAGTCCATAAATAAAGCTGACGATGGGGGCATGAAAAAATATATTCTGACTACAATCCTGCTGGTGCATTGTGCTCATCCCAACCAAGATTACACAACTTGCTTCTCCGCTAATTTATAGTAGTATGCATTTTCATGAATTTCTTTGTCATGAGGAAAAATAAATGTCATTTTCCTCTTTGTAACAAGAAAACTCTTGAAAACAGAATGATTGAGGTAAATTCACACTTTTCTCCAAAAGAAATGGAGAGAAAAGAGAGGAAAAGTAATTTTTTTGCCTCAAAACCAATGTTTTCCCTGTTGTTTTTCTGCACAGAAAGTATATTTTTCTGCAAAGAAAATGCTGTTTCCCACACACACAAAAATATGCACAGGCATTTTTCACTCAGAATGGATCCTGAATACT